CACACACACACACCTCTACCCAACACACAGGCCCAGCGGTTCAGCGCGCGCACACGCACACGCACACGCACACGCACACGCACACGCACACGCACACGCACACGCACACACCTCTACCCAACACACAGGCCCAGCGGTTTAGCGCACACACGCACACTGTACAACTCACAGGCCCAGGGTCAGTACACACACCTCACACATTGCACAACACACAGGCAGAGTCAGCACACGTACTACACAACACTGCACACATATTACACAACACGCAACGCACAGGCCAGGGCCAACAAAGGAAACGCACAGTGAACCAGCACAAAAACGTACACACACAACATGTACACAACAGAGCACACAACAGAGAGCGTCAGGGGTCCAACCTACCCGGATGATGGAGTTCATCTCAGGAGGGGTGACCTGCTTGGCCCTCTCGATGGCACCCAGGACCTGCTGCTGGTGCTGGGACACAGGACACGGAGAGAGCAAGAGTGAGGCCCCCTGTGGTCGAGTTACTGAACCCCTGAGCACCCCAGCCTGCAGCTGATGTCTCTCTGGGTCTGTCTCACTCAGAGAGAGTGGGCAGGAGGCACACAGGCAGAGCTCTCCTGCTGCACTTACCTCTTGTGACAGGTAGGGAAGCACCTGAGCGCAGATTCCATTCAGCCTCTTCACGATCTCCGCCTGTGAAGGAAGAAGCTTCGCTGATCAACCAGTTCATTTACCTCAAGCCCAACACACACGCACCGACCTCCTTCAGAGCCCAGAGGCGGAGCGGTTTTCTCCAGGAGCCCCAGAGAGAGACAGCGACAGCTAGCACTTGTTAGCAGAAGCAGACAATAATAAAGAGTAACCTGCCCTGGCAGATCATCAAATAATCTGGACAGCAACTCGTTCCCTGACGAGGCGAGAAGAAAGCCAGCTTATTCACTGCTGGTAACCCCAGGCCAGGAGCCAGCGGCTGGTAAAACCTGGAGAGGCTCAGGCTGCTCCGCACTGGGAGTCTACTGCTGCCTCTACCACAGGCTGAACGCTGTGCCTGCAGCTGAAACTGGAAACGTGACATTGAACTGCAAGAGCGCACTCACACACACATACCAATAAACAGCACTGAGAAGAGTTATAAATCAATTTTCTTGCAGGATGAAAATTAAACATGGAGCTGCCTGCTCGCAGCAGTGAAGCCGAAACGATTAATCTGAACTGGAGAAATGTGCCTGCGTGCCCAGAGCGCCAAGTAACTCGGAGAAAAGAAACCTGCGCCGCCTCTCCCTCCCCACCTCTGTCGCCTGAACCCCCCCCCCCCGGCTGATTCCCGCGGCCTCTGTGCTGAGCGAGAGGCGAGACGAGGCCGAGCCGATTAGAGCCGCCAGCCACAGCTGGGTCTCCGGTGAGCACCCGGCGCTGCAGATTCCCGGCAGAGTCATTACCACACGTCCGCGCCAATTTCCTCTCGCCCGATCTGCGCGCCTCTGCTCCTCGTCCATATTCAATTTTTCATAAATGTCAAAAATAAATAAATAAGCCTGATGAATTATACAAGCCAGGCTGGTGCAATTTCAACAGGCGAGCGGCTGTGAGGGATTTCCAATTTCTCTGCTGCTTCTGCAACTGTTTTTATATAGCGCCCTGCACCCCCAGGCACCCCGGAGCTCTCCGCTGGAGACCACAGGCTCTGACCGGGACGCACAGGGGCTCCAGTGAAATCAGCTGTTCAGTGTGTGTGTGTGCGTGCGTGCGTGCGTGCGTGCGTGTGTGTGCGCAGTGCTGGCGTGCGCGTGTGTGTGCGATGTGAGGAAGATGTCAGAGCAGAAGACTCACCTGCTTGTGCATCTCGATGTTCAGCCCGTAGGACATCTCGTAGTACTGTCAAACACAAGAGCACACGTGTGAGGGCACACAGAACGCGAGCACGCACTCCCACACACCGCCACCCGCCTCTCGCCCCCGCGGCTGTCGAGGAGACCGTGGCCCCAGCAGGGGAGAACCTGATAGCCAATTATCCTGACTTTCCTCCTCTCCGCTCTGGTGAGGCGTCTCTGGATGGGGGGGGGGGCGAGGAGCCGAGTATCAGACGGCCATGTGGGCTGGAGAGGCAGGAATAGGTCGCTGGGACATGGAGGGGAAGAGACGTGGACAGAACAAGGAGGCACAAGTTCACCTCTCCTGCCTCCAGCCCTCTCTGCCTCTCTGATCAGCAGCCCTTGGTACCTCACCTGTCTCTTGTGCCTCCAGCCTCGCTGCCTCACTGCCTTGGGGCAGATGAGTGAGGGCAATCAGTTTCTCGGGGTGCACACAGCGGGACACAGGGGCACAGGACACCCAGTCCTGAAGCACAGGTCTGGAGCTCTTGAGAGCAAATCGTTCTGCTACAGAGCCAGTGGACTCCACCAGCCTTTGCCATCTGCACGGCTCTTGTACAAAAGGTACTGATGAAGCCATAAAAGGCTCAGATTTTGAGCTCAAGCCAAATTGACTACAAGCTTCAGCATGTCATGTTGGGCGTGTTCAGGAGCCTGCAGTCAGTAAAACCTGGAACGGATCGGACTGCGGCGCACCAGGAGCCTGGCAACACTGTAAAACCTGGAGAGGGTCGGACTGCCGTGCCCGGAGCACTCCGCGCCCAGCTCTTACTCACCATGATGTAGTGGCGCTGCATTTCGGACTTCTCGCTCGCCAGCTTGTCGCACTCCAGCTTCAGGCTGAGGAGGGAAGAAGAGACGCTCAGGCCAGAGCAGGAGCCCTGCGGCACCGTCTGAGCCGCCGAAACACTCCGCCCCGGTTACAGAGTCGCCCGGCGGAAGGTTCCTGCTGCTCCGGAACAGCAGGCGGAGGTGAACTGGACCCTAGCTCTACTGACCCGGGTCCGGCCCAGCGGTCAGCGTCCCTGGCGGAGAGCCACCAACCCACAGGGCCTGGAGAGCAGATAACTGGGCCGAGCTCGGCTGGGGTGTTTACTGACTGCACCTCCAGAACGCTGATGTGCTCAGCTCCGCACCGAACAGTGAAACACAACCAGAGGACGCAGGTGGAAACTACACTGAAATGCATTTACGTACCTCCTGTTCTCAATGTTTACACAAAGGGTGGTGGGGGTGTGAAACAAGCTGTCCAGCCATGGAGGTGAAGTCAATACTCCTGGTTGGATCAGATCCTGGGATCAATTAGCTTCTAGCAACCAAATCAGGCTAGAGGCTCCTTTGATTTGTAACTGTTCTTATGTTCACACACTGTTCTTACGGTACAAACACACAACCTCTCTCTCCCAAACACACAGACTCAGCACAGCCCACATGCCACAGGTGCACACACACAAACTCTCTCTCACACACACAGACTCATTCTCTCACCCACTCAAGCCACTGTCACACAGTCTTTTTCACAAACACACACACACAACCGCCTCTGCTAGAGCACCATCCTGCAAGTGTGTGTGTGTGTGAGCGCATGTCTCTGCTCTCACTGGCTGCCAGTCCCACTCAAATTCATCACTCCCGTCTCTGCAACCCAGGCAACGCGCATCAGGGTTGCCACGGAAACCATCTCCCCTGCTGCTGCGCTGGCTGAACAGCCCGTGATTGGCCTGAGCCAGCCCGGAGGTGTAAGGACTCTCGCAGATGACACTTTGATGGAGTTTTAGTGCCTTCCCCTGCCTCGCAAATCGCTCGCGCCGTCATATTTATTTTGATTTATGTATTTGCTTATTTATGAACCTGCAGGAGAACACTAGCATGGCTCCCACAATGCTCTGGACATTACACCCTGCTCATTTCCGAAGCAGAAGACTCGCACCGTTTCGAACAGAGATCGGAGATCAGAATCTCCTTTCCCCAGCCTGTAGAAGTGAGCTCCTCATTCGCACTTAATCAAAGGCACCAGATCCCCCACCTTCTGCACTCAGCATTGTCAGCTGCTCTATAGACTCTGCAGAAAAATAAATATTTGTCCCTAATGTGACAGCAGCGTGCTCCAGTTCTGATCTCCAAGTATCAACAGAACAGACTCCCAATACACAGCAGGCTGATCCACTCCACAGTTCACCATCCACAGGGTTTTTTTGTACAAACACCATGACTGAATGCTGGAGATTCGAGAACAGCTGCCCTGTTTTGTGTCACTGAAGCTAAAGACAGAGAAAATGCATTTAGCCTTCTGCAGGTAAATCCTGGAGCAGATCAGACAGCTGTGTAATAGGAGTCCGATTTCTCAGTGAAACCAGCAGGACTGTGTTTTCCCCTGAGGAAGTTGGATCCACAGTGACCATCCATACAGAGGGATAAAATCCCAGAAGGGCACAGGAGCCTTGGAAAACTGTCACACTTAACCTCCCCCCACCCCAGCTGGAACACCAGCTCCCCAAGGAAGAGGAGACTCCAGGCCTCCAGTAATTGCTGGTTGAATATTTCATGCCGCCCCCCCTACGCCAATCAATACTAATGCAGGGAAACAGACCTGGGACTGACAACCTGAGAGGAGAAACATGGGAAAAAAACAGATCTGCCTCTTCTTAAAAAAAAACCTGTTCATCTTCAAACACTCAGACTAGCTGTTACACAACAACCGCAGATTCTAGTTTTCTTTTTGGCCCAGAGGTGCTGAAGGTCCCTCCCGGCCCAGCCCCCAGAGGAAACCACACAGCTGTGAACAGGAGGCACGTCTTTACACAAAGAGTGGTGGGAGACTGGTACAAGCTCCCCAGCTATGTTGTTGAAGCCAGTGTCCTGGCTTCTTTCAGGAAAGACCTGTATGAGATCCTGGGCTGATGAAGCAGAATGAGCTGGATGGACCTCTTGTTAGTCACTTCCTTACTTTTGCCGGGGTCTGAATTACTGCCCATCGGCACCACCTCTGACCTCGCATCCAATCGCCACGCTCAGCCCACAAGCAACGCTGGAACAGCTGGCCGAATCCAACAAGCCCCGAGCCCCACCAGCGAGCAGGTACCTGTGATACTGTGCCTGGAGAAACTGGAACTCATCCTTGATCCGGTCGCAAGAATCCGAGGTTGTGAACTTCAGCGGCTGTGATGACTGGGACGAAGCCTAAACAGGGAAAAAGAAAACAATTGTTACATTCTGATCTTCCAAACTCCAGAAGCCGTCTCCAACACACACACACACAGTTCAGCGCTTGGATTGCTCAGTCAGCGAGCAACTTGGAATCCTGCAGATGGCTGTCCTGGTTCTTCACCGACCCCCAGGAGCAGACAGAACCTCCGCCGTTGACTAAAAAGTTCCAACATAAATTGAAAAACAAACTTCTACTGAACTCTCTGTATTTGACAGAATTACCTTGGCAAGACTATTAAAATAATTGGTTCTACAGAAAACTTTGGTTAAAAGCTTCTGCACAGCCAAAGCCCTTCTCCACATGGGAATACATTAAATTACTAGTGAGAACGTCATCCTTTCCTTTTTAATCCATTTAAATCTTTTAGATACTAATAGGGGACCCGCTCAATTGAAGAAAATTGCGTGCCAAAATCGCTTTAGAATCAGGACTCAGCGTGACTCAGACTGCGCCTGAACATGTCTCCCCAGGCTGTGGGCTGTGCCCCCCGGGGTTCCTGCTGTCTCTGGGCCTTCGCTCCTACAGTGTGGGGGTGCCAAGGTTAATGAGCCACAAAGACCCTCTTGCAATGAGATCAGGACTTTGGATTTGGCCATAAACACGTTGTCCCAGTGTGGGCCTGCTCACTCCCCACTTGTCCACAGGCTGACCACAGGGTGTCCACAGTGAGGAGATTCACCAGCACTTGATGTTGTGTCCCCCAAAAAGAGTAATTGCTTAATTGGTTTTAGACAAATTTAGCACAGTGCAGTGGGGACAGGCGTGAACACGCAGGCGCGGCGGGGACAGGCGTGAACACGCAGGCGCTGGCGCGGACAGGCGTGAACGGAAACAGGGCAACTGGGCCGCCTCAATCCCACAGCACAAGGCCACAGCCCCTGAACTGACCAGCTCAGTTAAAAACACTAGAACTTGTTCTGCACAGGGCAAGGCTGCAGTGACAACAAAAGACTAAATCACAGCTCTCCTCCCAGCCTCTAACTGCAACAAATGCAGATCCCAGTCAATCCCACTGAAAAGGTTAAAATAATGTAATAATGTTAAAAATGTCTGCATTTAAAAAACTCGGCAGGGAGGC